GAATCTCAAAAAAAACTCTGTCGTAACATCAAAATTCCTCCTTGATCAATAGCTGTGTTCTCCTTTACAGAGAGACTAATTGGTCAAATTTACCCGCTGTGGTGCATCTTTTTACTGCCTAAAATTGCTTGTAATTCTTGAAAATTTGACAGGAAAAAGGATTGCTGACTACCAGTTTGAAAATTTCTTCTTCCTGTTGTGTTTTGAATAACTTAAGGGAGATTAATGACGTAGTGTACAATCAATAACAGCAACAACAAGAAATTCATTTTCATTTACTTAACAATTGAAATACATAATAATAAATAAATGTAAAAATTAAAAGCTAATTGCACTTCTCCTTTTAGCTTCTGATTGTGACAATCATTCATGCTCAATTTTTGTCATATTCTATCTAGATCTTTTGATAAATGAGTCTGCCTCTGACACCAGTGAAGAGTCTTGGCTAAACCACAAGATAACAGTAGTTTGTGCAGTAAAGATTCCAGAGGGCCACAAAGCAACCTTCTCATGGATGCACATTCCATCTAACAGGACAGTGCCCAAGAGATTGCATGATGACACGGGTAGCAAAAGCTACCTTTCAATGATCACCAAACGAGATGTTGAGTTTGAGACACTGCAGTGCCGAGCTGAAAACCGGGTCACTGTGAAGTACCATAAAATCGATATAAAAAAGCTGAGTATGTATTATGAACTTTGTAATCCCCAAGATCCTGGTATCAATTCTCCCATCTGTCTGCCTTTCAATTTCTAGAATTTTAGCTCTGAGAATCTGGTATTTAACTCTTATTTGTACTTAATTTTGCAATTTTGGCAAGACAGTTTCGTGGGATTCAGTTTCATTTTTGGGATTTCAACAAGCCAATATGACAATAGGTTATTAAATTTATGGTTCAAGGATTCTTAACTTCATTGTGTTTTTCAAAACCTAGCTCCAGTTGTTGAAATGTTACAATTAAGAAACTTGTGAATGAGAACTACAAGAAACCAGTGAAGGGCAATTTTGAGGACTGTACAAAAGATATTCTCTGGAATTGGCACATGAATCTTGTGATTTAGATGACGATGATTACTGTATTTACCCGTGTATAATGTGCGCCCATCATGATGTAAAATGCCCACCCTTGATTTTAACCTTATTTATCAGAAACAGAAGTTTTTCACGGCTGAAAAGACAAGTGAAATATTCATACAATTATTTATTTAAACGTACAACAAGAATAAGAAATTTACCATAATTATCGTTAACAGGATCAATATCTTTTGCTACCTAAGGTATTTATGACATTACTGAAATCAAACTTTAGGACTAATTCAAGCGAGGCCTAGCTAATTTGACGATTCCATGGCCTGGTAAATATTATGAGTGAGCAACAATATGTCCGAGAAGTCATTGAAGATTTTGTTAATTAATTTGATCGATATGTCGTATTTAATTTTTAATTGTAGTAGGGCCATTATGAAAACTACTGGGTGACCAGTAATCAATGTGTTTTACCCTCATTAAATAAAGTTCTCTTCTTCTTCTTCTTCTTCAGTGAGTAAACAACAATATAACCACGAATTTCACTGCGTGCGCTCTATACTTATAGGAATTAAATTCATGCGTTTTTTGCTTATAACACCAAATCAAGAACTGCTTTAAATAATAAAGCTTTCATCCTGACATATTTCTTGCTTGCTTTCTTGCTTCTCATTGAGAAATTCCAAGTAACATGAGATCTCTTCACATGCGGCCAAATCTGCAGGTTCCCCCTGAAATCTGATCCATGCCAGTGTTTGCACACTTGCAAAAATATTTAGCGATTTTTGTCTTTCCTGTTGATTTTAGAGTAAGAAGTTAATATGCACCTATAATTTTTCATTGAAAGTAAGTTATTTAATCAAAGCTAAATAAATGTGTTACTTTTTCTGTTGTGTTTTTAACGTAAGCAAATTAGGAAGTGTATGACAAACAATGGGAACCGTGTATAATATCCACTGCGATTTTGATGGTTGTTTTTGGAGAAATAGTACACATTCTACACGGGTAAATACAGTATTGCATTACACAAGATCTAGATACACATTATAGAACTTACCTGTAAAACTGGCCTCTTAAGTTTTGATGTATAGCCTGTTGTGGTTTTTTTATTACAATATGTCTCAATATTTTTTTCTGTGATTTGAATGGTCTTATAATTCCACATGTGAGCATTTTTGTTTGTTGGTCTTCAATTTATTTGCAATTTTTTTACAATCTCAAGAAAAAAAAACCACAAAATTAAGTACCAGTAAGGAAGGCTAAACATGATCTTTCAGCTTGAAATGGTATAATAGGGAGAAATTCCTTTCATACAATAAGTTAAATTATAGTAAAACAAATAGATTCCATTTTGCAGAATGTCAAGCTTTTGGTTTACTTGTAGGTTGCTCATCAGAGGTTAGCTGGGAGTCTTACATGCAGCCGGGTTGTAAGCTATCAATTGATATCAGGGAGGAAATCTCTCCAACTATCAACCCAAGTGTACCCATGCTTTTTTGTTGTTGTAGTAGGTCCACCTTCATCACCAAGAAACCTTAAAACACAAAGAGGGTTTGACCAGGAAAGTGCAAAAATTTATGTTCATCTTAAATGGGATCCCCCTTCAACAGATGGTGGCACAGAAATCAAACATTACGTAGTCCAGTATGTGGCTGAAGGTCTCCCGTGGAAGTCACCAAACACAGCCAAAACCACAAGTACAGAGTATTGTGGCCTGAGGCTTCCAAATGGAAAATACAATGCAAGAGTGAGGGCACAGAACAAAGCAGGTCTAGGGCCAACTTCAAATGAAGTACTTATAGATCTTGGTAAGTTTCTATTCTTGTGACTCTTTTTATTCAATATTCTTTTTTATATTAAATTTTTATTTGCCGTTATTTGCACCTGCAAAAATATTACTACAATTTACAACAATTGTACCCTGCGAGCAGAGACCCTTCAATCATCCTTATTAAAGATTAGTCCTCTTCCCGAACATTATCTAAGAAGATCAAAGGGCCTAATCTAGGAGGATCGAAGGGCCCCTGCTCTCAGGGTACAACAATTGATAAAGAAATCAAAAAAAACAACAACAATAAACTGATAAAAGATCAATAGTAAAGCAATCCTAATTAAAACCATTAACCAATTGACCTTTAGGAGTCTACTATTATCTAATTTATCCTTGCAATGTCACCTGGCCCTGAATCACACATCAAGGTAGGTCACAAGAATAGGGGCAATGATCACCGACTGAAGTAGCCCTAAAACAATAAAATTATACAAATTCTCCTTGTCAGAGCTAGCACCTTGGAAAATGTCTAGAGAACAGTATGGAGAATCTATGCATACTGATGTTAGGGCATAGAGGTGCGCGCATGCGGGTCAAGGCTTGTAAAGTTGGTTTCCCTCACAAGTAGTACAAGATTAACTGTAGATGCATATAACAGATATAAAAGAAGTAATGCGTTGCCAGCCATACAATAGTCTTTAGAAGAATTTGTTTGCACCTTTTCTAAGAACACCTTGATTTTCTATTTATATTTCTTTCAGAAGACTTTGAACCCTCACAGCTAACAATTTCTGGCAGTTCCAACATGCACTGTCCAGAGATTTCACTCCTTTTGCTCTCTGTTTTGGCATGGTTCCTTTAGCATGTGGCTGATGTGTTAGGATGTTACTGAGAACCTACTTTCAGGATCCTGAATGTTTGTTTTATCAATTAAACAAAGAAAATAGGGTAATTGTGAGGAAGAACACCCAAAAAAAAAACTGTCAGTCAACCCACAAGCAACAGTTGGCCATCAGTTAACTGACAGTTGGCCAATGATCTACATTGTTAGAGAGATTGCAGCAAAAATGTTAGTGTTGAATTGAGGCATGAACTTGTTTTAAAAGTGCATGATTCACAGGGGTTTCATTAATGTTTTCAGCAGAAGGGCAACTGGTTCTTACAGGCAGGCAAAAACTTTTTGACTGATCTTCTATGTAGGATAAACTTTCCTGTAGATGGTCAAACCAGGTGGGCTAAGTCATGCATCTTCATTAAACCAGTAAATTTGCCCAGCTATGTATAGTGCCAGGCCCTTAATGAAACCCCTGGATTCAATTAATGTATGCAGAGCAAGATCAACATCTACATGCAAGTACAAGCATCTGTAAAAAGTACAGTCAGAGTATTCTTTTGGATGTTAATTCTTGGGTATATTGCCATAAAATACAAATAAAATTTTTGCAATGGCCTGTCAGTTATCTCTATTTTTGCGATAACCTGTCAGTTATCTCTCGGCCAACTGTTGGCCAACAGTTAATAGAGACCAGAGGGGTGATGTTCATCACAATTCTGGACAAATTGAACGGCACTCAGGTTTTATACATGTACACATATCATGCAAAGTAATGATCCTCACAGGTGACCTGTATACACATAATTGTTGAGGGGGCAATTTATACTTATAATGTCATGAGATGACCCCAAAGCTCCCCTCCCCCCCCCCTCTTCTTATACTTAGTTCTTATTAATCAACCAATGGGGAGGTCTGTATGGGAGAATCTTGACCGAGGTCGCCAGTACAGACTGTACACAGTGAGGTCTGCAGCAGCGACCGAGGTCAAGATCCTCCCATACAGACCGACCTAGCGCATCAATGTTTATTATATGGCTGTGTCTTGTGTGCCAATTTTTTATATTCTTTGTACCTTTTTTTCCTAGACTGGACAAAATGCCGGCCTAGATGGGAAAATCTAGGCCGCTTTCAATATTGATTTCAGCCAATCAATTTTGTCAATTTGGTAGTTTCTAGTCCTTGTGAAACACAGCCATATAATAATTGCAAATACAAAATATGTACAGTGCAGATGTAAGTTTTGAATCAGATCAATATGTTTGTTTGGTGGCACAGATAAGTATCATATTATGGGTTTCTACTCTCACTGTACTTAATGTCTTTTTCACCAGAAACACTATAAAAATATTGCATTGAGGTCTTAGAGGCGGATGCAGTGCACCCATATAAATATTGAAGTTTGTCTTAGGTTTGGATAAATGCAAGTCTTAACTTTTGCACTGACTAAAGCTTTTAGTGACTTGTGATGCAACTGCTACTTCTCCCTTTGTTTCTCAAAGGAGAGCATGTTACTTTGGAAGGATAATCTAGCTGTCTATCACAAGTTACTCTAGAGCTTTTTTTTCTTTGCACCCATTTAAATGCTTTAAAACCTGTGTGAGTGTGATGCATCTACTAGCTGACTGCATGAGACATTCCTTGTATTCTGTCAGGGATTAACTGGCAGCTCTTTCTAGTTTATTTAGCAAGCAATTTTAGCTTAAATATGTAGTTCAGTAAAAATCATTAATAATGAAACAGGGTTGATTTGTCATCTATGGGAATCTACCAGTGGTCAAAATGGACCAACCAGAATATTTAAACAGAGTTTTCAAGAGATTTTTTATTTCGAGAGCTCATTTCTATGTAATGAAAAAATTGGTATTTACAAAGTGTTTCTTTTTTCAAAGGAAGTGTTTGCTTTATGAAGAGAGAGTTACAGCCAAACCAATGTCAGAATTGAATGCAATGTACTTCTCTGTCGCCAAAACTTCTTTTAGATTTGATCATTGCATGACATTTTGATAGATTACAAGTTTGATGAAAATTTTATTGTTAGTAATATTAATAAGTTATTATTTATTGTGAGTTTTGATAGTTGAATAAAAATGAGAAGAAAAAAACCAGCAATAATGTTGTTTGTTTTTATCCAGAGCACGAAACAAGACAATTATGTGAAACGATATTACTTGCATCGTTTTCAACTCGCAATTCCCCGCTAAATACTTCGCTTCGTTAACCAATCAGAATGCTAGATTTTATTCAATTATATGATTCTATAAACAACTGAGTCGAGTGTCATGGTAACGCATATCACTTGAAAGGAGCTAGCTTATTAACGTCAGTTTATTCGCTATGGAGAGGAGCTTTAGGGTGCAAAATACTCATTTGATATACTTTCATACTAAAACGCGAAGAAGTTCTGTTTTCAGATTTGTTGAAAGTCACATGTTAACAGGATAAAATACAGTGCCAGTTCAGAAAAAACCATCAAGTGAACACAAGTCTAGAGTTGCATTGCATTGCCTAACATTATAATATTGCGGTAAAGTGTCGAGTAAAATGGACATGTCATTTTAATAATTGTCGTCCTTAGCATCATTTCTCGGAACTGCGTGACATTTAAGGAAGGATTTTGTGACAAATATGCGACGAATTGAATAAAGTGTTGCACTTAACTTTATTGTTAAAAAAATGTAAAAATAAATTGCCGTAGATTCATGTCATTATTTCCAAGAACTTTACACAACTGAAATTCTTCCTTCAGTTGAATCTGAATCCCAGCTGTTCCTTCATGGATGATCAATGATAAGTTGATGTTGAACGATGATAAGACTGAGTTTATGGTGATCGGCACGAGCAAGCAGCTGTCTTTAAGTGTCTGTCAGGGAAGTTGATGTAATTCCCGTATACCCGGCAAAAAATCTGGGCTCCTCAGGTTCGACTCGCACATGGATATATCAACACGTAACAAAGATCAGTGGTAGTGCCTTCTTTTAACTGTGTAATAACTGACACATACGGAAATACCTTACCAGTGTACTGAGAACCTGATTCATGCATTAATTTTTATAACCAGTAGGTAAGACTTCTGCAACACGCAAAAACTCCAGCGTGTTATGAATGCCTGTGCGCGATTGATCTTCTGCGCACCTAAACACTGTCATACTACGCAGCTCCTTCAACAACTTCACTGGTTGCCTATCCGCCTACATATCGAGTTTAAAATCCTTTTCATCACCTTTAAAGTACTCCAGGGCTCAGCTTCTAAATATCTCAATGATTTCATTTCTGTTTCATCGCCATCCCGTCATGATCTACAGCGAAATAACAAGGGAATTCTTCTGAGTACCCCAAGGCGTTTCACAAAAGATACCATAGCGGGGGATTCTTCATGGCGGCAGCACTGCGGCTTTAGAGCAGTGTTCCTGTAAGCATCAGATCTACTTGCACCAAAAGTGATTTTAAACGGAGACTAAAGASCTTTTTATCAAGCAAGGCATTTTGCTAGTACAATTAGTTTGTACTAACAATATATGAATTTCATATATTCGTTATGTTTGATTTATCATTTTACGGGTTAATATGTCGAATTAATTAGATTGCCTGCATGCTCACAGTTGGCTTGTTAGCTCAATTTGTGGAGCGCTGCACTTGTATCGCAAAGGTCAGTGGTTCGAATCCCGTATAGGCCTGAATTCTTTCAGATATGATTTTCACTATTGCTTAAATAGTGCTCTTTACTGCGAGGATTGTGCTCAAATACGTTTCTATAAACACAGTTCAGATATACGAATTTCATATATTCGTTGTTTGATTTATCATTTTACGGGTTTATGTCCAATTAATTTGTTATTTGCTTACAGTTGACATGTTAGCTCAATTGGT